AGAGAGAGAGAGAGAGAGAGAGAGAGAGAGAGAGAGAGAGAGAGAGAGAGAGAGAGAGAGAGAGAGAGAGAGAGAGAGAGAGAGAGAGGAAAAGTAGCGATCTTCGATTCTGGCAAAAGTATGAAATGCGGTGGTGGCGCATCTGCAAGCACTGAGCTACGACAAAGAGCGACAAGTGTTAAAACAAGAGGAGGAAATGGACTAAGAGGAGGAGGAACCAAACTGAAGGGGAGAAAAAAAAGAGCAGCAAGGAGGAGGAGGAATCCGGCAGTAGGGGCAGGTATCGACCAATAGCGATTGGGCACGAGGCTGTTCATCTCCCCCCCCCCCCCCCCCCCCCCCCCCCCCCCCCCCCACCTCTTTTTCCGCTCATCCTTGTGCAGGAGCCATGTTGATGTTGATTTTCTCTGTATCGTTCCAAGTTTAGCAATGACCGAAAATTGCGGAGGAGGATCGTTGAAAAACAGAGCAGTAGTAATCGAAGAAAACACAACATGTCACTTTTTTATTTGATTAATAGGACTGGGAGAAGAACATGTCACCTGAGGAAGAGGAGTTGTGAGGAAGGAGAATATATCGAAGGAGATTGATTAGTATAGAACGACAGGGAGAAGAACATGTCACCTCAAAGATTAGGGTAAAGGGTGTCGCTCCACGACTCACACCACATGCACAGAAGACAAAACATGCGGGTGTATCTTTCCATGTTGTAGCGGAAGATTCATTCTTATTTTGCACATTTGGTGAGTAGTGGAGCGAGGGCCAAAGATAAAGAGAAGGGGTGCATGAAGGGGGGGGATACGGAACAGGAAAAAAAGGAAACGGAGATATGGAGTCGGAGGAGATGAGAGAACGGAATAACAGGAGGAAGAAGAGAGGGGAGGAAGAAGAGAGAGGAGGACGAGGAGAAAGAGGAGGGAGGAAGAAGAGGAGGAAGAAGAAGAAGAAGAGGAGGAGGAGGAGGAGGAGGAGGAGGAGGAGGGTGATGTGGTGATGCCCCCAACGAATAGCTATTGGTGATGTAAGGAAAATACGTCTTTTCTTCAAAAAAATAAAATAAAATGAAAATGGCATAGCCGTTTTGTCATCGTTATAAATTGTAATTATATGGCTTAGTATTTACCTTTTTTTTTTTCTTTTTTTACCTCTTTTCCTACGGACATGCGGATATATTCATCAACAGAGAAAACTTAAATGGCACTTATATCTGCGCACTTGCCTGTTAGGCAAAATTACTGGTATGGGCTTGCTTGCTAGGCAAGCATCAGAGAAGGACAAAATGCACCTCACCTCAGCTGTGATTAGATCATCATCGGTCACAAGCGGATTATTATCGTAATTAGATCGCCACAACAAACATCATGATCATCATCATCGTGATTATGATGATGCACAATTGGAAGTTTTTTTTTTTTTTTTTTTTTTTTTTTTTTTTT